AGTGTGTGTTTTTTCTCCGTCCCTCATCCGCAGGTCGGTCTTTTCGTGCCTCCCACTGGCCGTCGTTCGCTGCTCCAGGCCAATGGGAGCTGCAGGAAGCAGCTCAGGCTGAGTGACATACTGGTCGCCGCTTCCTGCAGCTCCCATTGGCCTGGAGCAGCGAACTACGGCCAGTGGGAGCCACGATCGGCCGGACCTGCGGATGTGGCAGGTAAACAAACCAGCCTGGTCTGCCAGGGGCTTTTCCTAAACAAGTGGCATCCCAAATTTGGGAAACAGTGGTCTAAGCAGTTGAAGTCAATGCTTAATAAGAGTTTGGTAAATGCATTTTAAAAGCATTTCTATAATTTATCAGATGCTTTGTTTTAAATCTAATGAGTAGTGTGATGAGGTACATGACTCACCACCACTGGCGCCTCCCGCTGGTTGCTCTAAGAATTTGCTTGGGTCAGCTGTGGCGCACCCTCAACATGTGGTGCCTTGTCCGTTGTCTGCTCTGCTGCCCTGGGACCCGCGTTGCTCCCTGCTCGGCGGCGTCCTCTTCAGGACACTGCCCTCCGGCAGTGCCCACTACTCCAGTCTCACCCCCTTCCGGGGGAGCTGTGTGTGTGTTAACAACAGTCTTTTGCCTATCACCTGCCTCGGTGGCCAACCACAACCCCAAAGTCTAGCCCCGCACCTCAGGGGCAGGTTGCAGTCCATCTCAGCCACTCCTCCACAAGCAGGTGAAGTACAAGGGGCGGAGGGAAAGGAGGGGACCCAGGCCCATCTGCTACTCTGGGTCCTGACCCAGAGACCCTCTAGCAGCAGTCTCTCTGCCCTCCTTCTCTCCCCTTGTTAGACTATGTTCCCTGGGCCACTTCCTCTTTGGCCTCTTGCACCTTCTCAGCCCTTCTAGTCAGGGCTGCAACCTGGCAGATAATGGGCTGGAGCTCTTCTCTGCTCCCCTGAACCTGCCCAGCACTGCTCTATCCAAGGTGCTATCTCCTTGCTTCAGGAGTCAGTCCTTCTCCCTTGCTAGTCAGGGAGAGACTCCCTTCTCCTCTGCTAGGCAGCCTTTATATAGGACCTAGCCCGGCCCGGATTGGCTCTCCCCGGCCTTGGCTAATTGGCTGCTGGTCTGCACAGCCTCTCAGGCCTGGTTCAGCTCTTTTCGTCAGGGGGGTCGGGCACTGCCCCACCACAAGTAGCTAAGCATTTTTCAAATGCTGGAGGTATTTCACAGGTAGTGTCTTAGCATGTTACAGGATCCTCATGGAGAAGACATATGGATGCTGTTATTCTTCTTTGTGCATTTTCTGGAGATGGGACAAGAAAAGACTTTAATAGGAATATAAAGCATAAAGACTTTGTTTGTATGGTCGAGGTTAAATTCATGTGATAATTAGAAGTAGTAGTGTCTTGAGATATGGGCTTTAGGGTGAGATTTCAAATGGTAATTTGGGTAACTCTTCTAAGAGGACCAAGGAAAGAGGGTTAACACTTCTGCTCAGTGTGTTGAGTGAAGAGTCAGTTAGAAAGGTGTTGGATTGTGCTGTGGATTCAGAGAAACTAGAAGGTTGATAGCAGTGATTGTATTTTAGCAGATGGGGAAAGGAAGAGTTAACTTCTGTTGTGAAGTTGTAGGGTAGTTGAAAAAGGGTGGGGATGGGAGTAGGATTGCCAAGCAGAAGAAATAGGGACATTTCCAAGTAAGCTAGCTAAAAGAGACCAATATAAACACCCAGTCTGACCTTCTGCCTACCCGTACATAAAAATTTCACCCAGCATTTTCTACATCAAGACCATTACTTTTGGTTGAGACACAGCATCTTTTAGAAAGACATACAGTCCTGATTTAAAGACTTCATCTGAAGGAGAATCCACTAAATCCCTTGGTAATTTGTTTGATTGGGTAATTACCATTAAAATAATTGTACCTATTTCTAGTCTGAATTTGTCAAATTTCTGATTCCAGGAATTAGCTATTTGTATGCCCATACCTGCTAGGTTAAAGCTCTTTTCTATCAGAAATCTTCTCTCCATGTACATACTTACAGATCATGATCAAGTCACCTCTTAACCTTTTTGTTAAGCAAAAATAGATGGAGCTTCTTGAACCTCTCACTATACGAGCGGGTTTTCCAGACCTTGAATCATTCCTGTAGCTCCTCTCTGAACTTTTCAGTTTTTCCAACATCTTTTTTGAGGTGTGGATCTCAGACCTAGACACAGTATTCCAGTAATTCTCTCACTAATGCTATATACAGAGGCAATACCACCACCCTGTTCCTAGTCAATATTCCTTTGCTTGTATATCCAAGGATTGTATTAGCAATCTTAGCCACAGCATCTACTGAGAGCTCATGTTCAGCTAGTTATCCATTATGACCCATAGATCCTTTACTTACATCCACAGTAGTGCCTCTTCTCAGTCTTCCTCTCTGTCTTCCCCTGCCTTTGGTTTTGTACTTCTTTTCCTCTCCCCCACTTCATCCTCTTTCTCCCATCAGTATGTCAAAGCCATCTCCCCTCTTTTATGTAGAGTGAACCCTCACATTAACAATTTTTAAATGTAAATAATGTAAACCATATTAGACGTCATATCCTGATTCTTCTGCTTTCTTCCCTGCAGGACCATAGTTGAGCTACATCATTCAAATCCTGCTCTTCAAACATACAGATACTGGTTTGCTTACTGCCAATGCATAATACAAGTTGGTACCAATAGTAACTGTTGGAGAGAAGTCCTGGAAGCTAAATTTTAGATTAGAAGCATATTCCAATACAGTAGATTGGTTGTGAAATCAATGCAAATACAGTCCAGTGCTTCTGAAGTTGGAACAGTTTAATTAATACCTTAGTTTACAATTTTACAGACTTCTGCACTTCCTGATTCCAGCTGGGGCTGAGGTCAGAAATGCTAAAATATTACTAGATGTTGTTTTCTTTTTATTGGTGGCTATAGCTGTGTGGAAACTGGAATTTCCATCCTGTGACAAACATTTGCATTTCCAAATTTGTTGTTGTTGTAGTTCAGAACCAGAACAAAAAGGGAGTATGAAAAAAAACACCTCTGTCCTACAGAAAATGTAATTCTATTTTCGAAGAACCAACATGGAATTTTTTGAAACTTTCCAAGCTGGTAAGATAGAGGCAAGCTAGCCATGGAACTAACTGGCAGGCAGGCTGACCAGGGAGTCAGCCACTGAGCCACTTAGGTAGCCAGGCAGCCCACCCAGCTTCTAGGTGGGCTACCAAGGAACCAGGGGCTGCTTGCCTAGTTTCTTTTGCAACGTTCAACAGAACTGACGTATTCTAGTGTAAAATTGTTCTGTCAAAAAGTATTAAGCCATCTCTATTGCTGGATCATTAGTATTTAGCAAGAGAATGAAACTTCACAAGAGACAATTTAAAAAAAAAAATCCTAGACAAATTTTGCAAACACAAGAGTTAAGGTAGGTCAGATAAGACTCCATGATTTTCCATGCATTATTGTATTTGAATTGTTATTAGTTTGATTTCTTGAAAAATTTATGAAATTATAGCTCCTTTTTCATTTGGGGATTGATCCATGTTAGTCTTCCTAATGATCATAACAATTGAATCATTTTGTTCTTTATCATTTTTGTTCAGCTTTCACTGATGTGCAATTAAGCAATTCCAATTACAACAGAATATAGAAATCTCTGGAGTCTTGACTCTTCTGGAAAGGCATGTAATTCTTTGTTTAGAATTGAAATCTCAGCTGGATTGGTTTTAATTTGAAAATTAATTCCTCTTGCACAGTAAATTAATAAATTTGAAGTAGCTTTGTTCTGACAGGTATCTGTAAAACATCACAAAGAAAACCCACTCTATCTTGGGGTTAGAGATTTCACTTTATTGTATCACAAGCTACCAGAGTTTTGTGATTTTAGGCCCAAATGGCCATTCAATTGTTTTAATGAGGGAAGAATGATTTTTTTTTATAAATATAAGTTCTGTATGCCACATATGTGGATATGATTATTATGCAACTCTGATGATCTCCCTGTGGCCCTTGGCCACCCATCTCTCTGGAAGTTATTTTAAAATGCTAAACTCCTAAGCAACTTCCAACAGGTACTTTTCTTTCTTTAAAAAAATAAATAAATAAATCTGACTGTCAGAGAAAACTTCCTCCTAGTCCCCAAAATGTGAAAATTTTCCTCCAAAATTACATCTGACTGAAACTCAGTACAGGAAAGATTCAGCGCTAGACCAATGGCAGGCTTTGTACAGTTAAAAATATAGCAAGTTAAAACTTGGTGTCTAACAGCTCTGCCAGGCTATACATAAGAACTTTTTGCCTTTGGGAAGTGTAGTAGGATGGGTGAGATGGAGAAAGAGGGGCAGATTTCAGGATGGACTTTGGTTAGGGAGACATCTGGAGCTTTGGGACATCTCAGCATGTAGCATTGTTTTCCATGCATGCTCAATTAAAAAAATATATATATATATATCTGTCTTATAACTCTTCCTGCCTCATCATTTATTGTAAATGAAAGAGGATGGCAAATTCCAAGTTTCCCAAAAGTACACATGGCATCTACTTCCTACCCTGAAAAGTCAAGAGAAACCTCACTTTAAAACTGTGATTACTTAAAAAAAAAAAAAAGCAAAACAAAACCAAAAAAACCACACCTATTAGAGAATGTTTTTTGGAATACTGGAGTCATAGCAACATAGGCAGTTGCCTTTCCAGGCAGAAAGATACAAAAACCATCCAAAGAAATTTGAAAACATTCCAAGAATAGTTTCCTCCATAACACATAGGTTAATTATGTTTGCAATTTGACAGTCTGGTAAGATTTCCAATTATTGCCAGGACATTAAGTTGCAGACTATTTTTCCATTTAAATCTGGTTAGAGATTTGCAGCTTTTCTCCTTTCAATGCAAACCTCGCCATCTCGCTTTTATCACCTCAAGATTAGATTACTTCAGAGAGATCTACTTATGGCAGTATCTTAAATGCATCTGGAATCTAAATTGTTACAGTCACCTTAGTTTTTTCTTTTTAATTTATACCAAACCTAACTATACAGAACAGACCAAACAGCTACTTAATATGACTTATTTGTTAAAACCTGCAGAACTTGCTCATAATGCAGTAATCCAAAACTCATGCTCACCAAACCTTTCTAGTACACCACATATTCAATCTCATATTCACATAATTCTACTTCTTTGAAGATTTTAAAATAAACAGCTTTGGTTTTAGTGAGTCACACCAAGAACAATACATCAGCTCTCCCTGCTGGCTATATAGGAGAGATTAGTTAGACCAGCACTCCCCAAACTGTGTATTCCTTTCTGCTGACATCAGATATAATGTTGCTACAAAAACACCCAGAATTAAATCAAACAATAGCAATATGAAAAGATTCTTCCTAGGTTAACATTCCATCAACAAATTGAGATATGTATATCACCTGCTGTAAGGAAAGAGGAGAACTGTGCCAATGAATCATTTTAAAATTCTGCTCTGAGAAATGCTACACTGTTATGGCCATTTGTAGTATGTTAATTATAGTTACCATGCATATTTCAATCATTTCGGCAGGTGTCCATTTAGCTGTCTGGTTCTAACAGGATAGTTTTCTTCTTCTTTAGGGACAATCAGAGGAGCTTTGTTAAAGTGACTTCAAAATCTTTGTACATTTATGCATTGTTTCAGAGTAAGATAACTATCATGCTAATTCCTTTTCAAAGTGGTGTGTGAATATTTAATCATTCCTTTCCTACTGATATTAATGGGAGTCACATGGTTTAATCTCTATTGCCCGACCTTGAAAATTTAACAATATTGGACACAATGAACAGGTTTGACAATGTTGTCTGCAGGACAAGTCTCACTCAGCTATTCTATATCTCTTGTAATAAGGCACATACAGAATCACCTGTGGGGCAAATCATAATGAACTCTATGATGCAAATTGCAATGGTCAAAGCTCTCTAATTTGGCTTAATGGAGAAACTGCGGGACTTCAGTAATCCACAGGAATGTCACTGTATAAGCTCTTGCCAAGGTCAGGCCAAACATTTCAGGTAGATTTACAGCAGCTGAATTGCCAAATTACTGGTAATCTGATATAATCACATAATCAGCTGTTTATTCATTGTCACTTGGATGAGTAACTGATTGCGATTATTCTGCAAGGCTATGCACTGTCCACTTTTATCAGCCTATTACCAGAGATCTTTTACGATTAAATTTTCTGTTCATTAGTAGACCCTTATGACAACTGTCATTTAGAAGCTGTGGAAACTGGGGAAGAAGAGTGACAGAGCCAGTTA